CCCTTCCTGCAGCTTCCCTACCCGGAGCTCTGCGCGCCCTCCACCCGGACCCCGGGGCGTGGGTCGGGCAGGGGGCTGACTGCTTTGTCCCGGCTGGATGACCTTGGGTCAGTCGAGTCGCCCCTGCGTGCCTCGGCTTCCTTGGCTGCACAGTGGGGAAAACTCCATGGGAAACCCCCAGGGCCAGGGTGAGGTTCTGGGGCGCGACGCTGGCGAGGGCATAGCACGGTGCCTGCGCTTCCCTTGTGCTTACAAAGTGGTCGTTGTTATAAGGATTGTCATCACGCCATGTCCGGTTTTCGCTTTCTTTGGTGGCTTCGTTTGAAGACCCAGCTGGTGGTCCTATCTGGTCAGAGGTTTAGCTCTCCTGTGACCTGGCGCGCGTGTTTGGTGGGTGGGTCGGGGGAATGAGGCTGGGCCCAAGGAGGCATTACAGTCGTTGGGAGAGAAGCAGGGAGTTTTTGCTGGAGAACAGGAGAATGGTTGGAGGGGACCTACCAGGTTCTCTGGTCTTCTTTTCTGTGACTGAGAGGCCTGGGCCACCAGGAAGGAAGTGACTTTCCCAAGGTCTGAGAGGTGGATGGAAGCACATATGGGAGCAGGACTAGGAGTCAGACTCCCATACGCGTTGTACCCAGTTTCTGCTGCCACTAACGATGAGGGTGACCTGACCTGGAACTTTAGTTTGGGCTCCTCATTCTCCATCTCCTCCTCTGGTCATTTGCTGGGAAAAGAGAGAAGAAACAGGATAGGGGATTTGGACATAATGGAGACTTTCAGACTGGGGCCTCTGATCCTGGCTTCTGTAACATCTGATCTGATGTGGTGGTCTTCTAGGCTTCACAGTTGACCTGCGGGCAGCCCCCAGGCCAGGTTTCCTGGGAGTGTGGTCCAGGACCACCTGCTCTCCCCCTTGGAGAAGGTTGTTTAACATGTGTTTCCCAGGCCATGCCTCAGACCTGCTGTGGCCTACGAACCTGCATTTAAAACATTCTCCAGGTGAGTCTGATGTCCACTCAAG